AAAGCTGAATTTAAATTTGCGGAGTCACACGTGGGTAGGGGACGTTCCCCTAAATTTTCAGCTTCCTAGATTTTGTGGTTCTCGGATTGAAAGTTACGGACAAGTTGTTGCCACACACACACACACACACAAACACACACACAGGCAATCACGTGACAATATGCGTTTTGTGCTGTGTAACAGCACAAAACGCATAAAAACCACATCATGCATCAGCTTAAAAATTAGAACACCACAGGACCAATTCTTTTGCACCTTGCGGATCATGAAATTGCTAAGTTGGGATGAGGAACGGCAAATCCAACTGGCAGGCGCCAAATTAGCTGAAAAATGTTCAAGGTTTTTGGTGAAGATTGGTATGCGAAATTTAACAGGTCTGGCGACGTTTATAACATTATCGAGTTGAACCAATGTGGCACCAGGTTTGTTCGGTGGAGCAATAAATTTTTCACTGCAGGATGCACCAAAGATCCAAGGGTTAGTAAAATATTTGTGTAAATTGTTTCAAAACACAAAAATTGGAGAAATTATGTAAAATTTCAAGCGTTCTCTCTCGCCTCTCATTTTTCGAGCCACAGAATACATACCATTGGTTTAAAGAAAATTTCGGCACTCATTTATGAAACTTTAGAATGTGTTACTTTTGCGGTTTTCGCGTCAGGTGTCGGTCCTTCTGCACCGGGAGCAGGTTCTGGCACCGCTGCTGCTGCTGCTGTTGGTGGTGCTGGCGGTGCAGGTGGTGGTGCTGGCGGTGCTGCAGCTGCAGCTGCTGTGTCTGGTGCACCCATTTGTGTTGGCGCTTCTGGTAGTGCTGGTTCTGCAGGGGGTCCTGAAGGCGCTGGTTCTGGTGCCGGGGGTTTTGCTTGTACCTCTGGTGCTGGCGAAGGCTCTGGTAGCATTATTGGGGCTGCTGTTGCCGCTTGATCTGGCACCGCTGATGTGTCCTGTAAAAGTAGGAAAAGTTGCGAGTGAAATGAAAAGCGTCAGCCATCAGCGTGCTGCAACGGGGTATTAGCGAAATCTGAGCAGTCCCCAGAATATCAGCAGAATTTCTGATTTAGCGGCTTGGAAATGCAGTAAAGTAACCGAGGACGCAAGTTTTCGTCCCTCACAAACACAGTGTGAATAGAATTGGTCTAGAAAATTATAACACTGAGTGCGAAGGGGATGCACAAGTGAAGGTATGTCCGCGAAACAGATGGCAAACAGACCATGATTACTTGGAAGAAGTTAACAGTTATGACTGCCTTGGTTATAAATTAAATATAAGCCGGAGCTTAGTCGCATCTCCTTATCAATAGCGACGCGCACGAGGGTAGCAGTGCAATCATGCGTTTTGCGCAGATTTGACCGATGAGTTAAATAGTGAACATTCTTAACAGCAACAACCGCTGTCGCTAAGAATATTCACTATTTAACAGTTTGGTATACATAAAACATGCGAAAATTCAATGTGCCCGCAAATAAAACGTAGGCGTTCATGAGAGTTAGATTTGAATCTGTTGATTCGCACATGGACAAAAAACATCCTTCAACAATTTTAGCTTTCTGTTTTGTCTGTTCCCGAACTAAAAATCATAAATGTAAAGTTACATTTGATCTGTACCTGAAAAATAAGCGTGTCTAAAGGCTAAATTTGAAATTCCAAGATTATACATTCGGGGTTTCCTCCGAACATGCTATCCTGAAGTTTTAAATTTAGCTTCCTATCTTGCCATTTGCAAGACGGGAAATTTCGCACTAAAACTCCCATATTTTTGTACGGAGGGCTGATTTTAAATTTTTGAGGTCGGACATGGGCTTGGAATATTACCTCAAAATTTTATCTTCCCAGTCTTTAGAAGTTACAAAACAATAACCGTCAAATTTCACATGCTCGTGCGTGAGTTATAGAGAGGCTAGAAAGTTCAAATGATTTTCACGAGCACGTCAGTCGTAAAATTACAGCTCCTTGCAGCCTCCTGCTTATTCTACTCCCGAAGATGGCCCCATGCCAGTTTAAAGTTTGCAAGCACATGAGACCCAGGGTACGTGAAGGCTAAATTTGAATCCTTTGAGTTAAAAATCGGTAAGGAACATTTTCGTAAGGCTTCA